TATATATATATATATATAAGTCTAAAGAATATAACTTCAAGAGAATATACAAGTAGGGCATACCTTTTTTTTTTTTAGCTAGTTCATAAATTAAGAAACAAGTTGCAATTTTCTTTTTTTTTTTCTAAAAAAAAAATTAAAATCTAACGACATATCATAAATATTTAAAAAAATAAATTTTAAATTTAGTAACTTGTGAACCGTACTTTATTAGAACTGTGACGTTAAGTTCGTTTTAAGAATAATAAATATTTTGTTAGAATTGTGAATCTTTTTTAAAGTATTATTACGATATTCGTACTTAATTTAAAACAATAAATATATCTTAAACGTAATAATAATACTTATAGAAAATAATTACTTCAATAGTTTGTACCTTTTTATTTTTTTTTTTGTGTTTTATAAAAAATATATGTATATAATTTTAAATTTATAATTTTTTTTTGGTTTAAAAGTGTAATAAGTCCACTAAATTATATTATTTTATATAATATTAAAATACTCCAATATTTATAACTCAATTATTTAACACCTAATTAAAATGCTTACAAAATCTAAAAATAATATTTTATTATTGGAACAATTTTTTTTTTTTTTACATAATGTTTACCGATAATTAATATATAAACTAATATTATAATTATTTAAATTGTAGTTTAAAATAGAAATCTCAATTACCAATTTTACTTAAAAGCAAGCTCAATATATTACTATATATTAAAAAAATATATATTAATATATAAAAATTATTTGCTGGCCATTCTATTATTTCAAACTCTCATAAATAAACATTATGGACCTATACCCAAGTGGGTGTGTGTGTGTGTGTGTGTGTATATATATATATATATATGCAGTGATGCAGATTGTGTGCATATATAATATTATATATATATGTATATGAGCAAATGGAGGAAGTTGCCTTTCATTACCAAACCTCAAAAGAAGCAATATAAGCTTAAAATCTCTTGGAAGACAAGTAGAGCTCGCACTCAGAGATTTATATATACGTACATATATATATCTATATCAAACAGAAAAAAAAAAAACATTATATATATGCATATACATACATGAAACAGATCCTATCTCTTTGTCAAGGGATAGAGTGGCTTTCACTACAAACAAAACTTAATCAGCATGCCTCTCAAAAATGGATGACGATAACAGGCAGACAAAGAATGTATATATACACATTAAGATATAGTTGTAGTTAATACATCATGGGCGTTCATAGAAAATGATGCAGCCTGAGCGATTATTGGATATATTATAGGTATTACATATACATATACGTATATATGTATGCACGAATTGTTTATATATAAGTAGGAAGAGTGCAGAGATTGAATTGATGTGTAGTGATACCATCTTGGTTGGTCGTAAGTACCTGTCATTCCTTCATTGTATATACAATGCATCACCCTCCTCAACAACATCTAAAACCTTTCTTTATAATGTATACATACATACATACATACATACATACATATATATACATACAACCAAGCTTACCACTGAACGTTTTTTTGAGTTTATTTTATTAGAAAGGGGTTAAAATATAATATTATTAAATTTAAGTTCACATTTTTTGAGATTTTAATTACAATTTTAAAATTGCTTGTTACCATATTAAATAACAATTTAATTTACACAATATATATATATATATATAATTATGATAAATTAAAGATTTAATTTAAGCACTAAATTGGCCCAAGCCCTGAGATAGAGGGAAGCTGCCGCAGCCTCAGAAGAAAGTAGTGGGGGCCCAAATCCAACTCAATCAACTACAAATATCGCAAGTGGGCCCAACTCAATTAACTAAAATTGATATCATTGGACAACATTGTGTGTATATAAATATTCTATATATATATATATATATAATTTCTTGCGGTAAGAGATAATGGATAATGGGTCTGTTTTTATGGGCTCAAAAGAACCCATTTATCATAAACATGCATGGATATATATATATATATATATGATATATAGATATAATATTTATATATATATAGTCCATGGGCTTGTTCTTCCCTTGGGCCCTTGGCCCGGCCTTGACAAGTACATATGGGGATCGAATTCCTTGCTAAAAGGGAGATTCTCATATACTCGGGGGTTTCCAAGGAAAGCTCAAAGCTACATTATTAATTCAACTATGTACATACACACACACACACACATATATATGGATAGAGCTATTTTATATTCATGTTTTCCAACAAAACCTACCATACCCATATATATATATACATATATATACAAATCTTCCCGTATAGGCGCGCATCATATGCACATAAATATATATATATGTGTGTGTATATTGTGAGGAAGTAGAAAATAAGATGGGGAGGAAAAAAAAGGGTATAGTGCTCGAAACAATCTGTCAATGGGACCTCGTGCTGCATGAAGAAGAGAATTGTAAGGGCCACCCTTGTATAAGTACTCTCACTTGTCCCTATCCAATAAAGGCATGCCTAAGCACACCCCATAAATCTATATATATACATATATATATATATATATATATATGATGCCTACATATTTTAGGGCGAGTCCCATTTAATTTCCCACCCTACTACATTACAAATTGTCTCTTTCATTTAATTTGGTCTCCACTATTGTCCCTATCTCACTCCCAAACAAAAAAAAATTTCTCCCAAAAGGTCACTTGCTACCTTGGTAACCATATTTTTTTAAATTTAATTTCCATTTAATATAAAGTTTCTCTCTAAGAAATTATAACGCTAGGCTAACATTTTTAATTAATTTAACGTAATAAACTTTTTATTTTCTTATATATAACGTGAGAATCATTTTTCAACCGCATAACATAAATTTTTTTTATTATTATTACGAAGAGAGACAAAAATTAAAAAAATTAATAAGCAGCGAAGAATTTACACGTCGAGAATTTTAATTTTGCATTAAATAAATAAATAAAAAACTAATTGTAAAGTTAATTAATTTTTTAATTTAATTTATTTTATTTTATTTCAACAAGTAATATTATGATTATCTCTAGAGTTTAAAACTAAGTAATAATTATATTAAACTAACAATGCATGCACGTGCAATTGTGCGCACGTGTTCATCGTTCCCAAACATCCATCCGTAATAAATGAATTGATAATGCTAATAATTTACTTTCTACCGTAATTTTTGTAATTGTATTAAAATTCACGAATTATAAATAAATAAACAAACAACCAAACAAATAGTAATAAAAAGTGAATTTAATGACGAATTTTCAAATACTAAAATAATATTTTTGTTATTTTAAAATAAAATATTGGAAAATTCGTGCGAGGCATCATTAGAAATGTACAGAATATAATTTTATTGAAATGTAGGGACTCCGTTGTTAATAAAGTATACTTTTTATTTACTTTACCGTAAAAAGGTGAGCGTACAGTCTCAAAGTAAACTTGCTTTATGCTTTTTTTTTTTTTTTTTTTTTGCACACGGGTGGCCCCTCTATTATCTCATAATTATGTCAACACCCCCCTTTATTCTTCTTAATTTTAAATGAAGGTAGGAAAAAAAATATATTATAATTTATAAATATAATCAAAATATAGATATACACATGTACTAACAAAATCCATAGATTATATTTGTAAACCCAATTTAATTAGGTCATAAGAACCACTCAAGTGCCCAGTAGTGTTTTTTTTTTTAAAATTTATTTGTATTTTTTAAAAAAAATTAGTATTTCGTCGATTTATAAGTGTTAAAGTCAAATAAAAGAACGTTTAAAATAATAAATAATTGTTATAAAAAAAGATATATTGATAGAATGAATAAAGTTAAAATAAATTATAAAATTATTATATTTTAAGAATATTAAACTATAATATTAAAAATAATTATTAACAAATTCAATTATCATGAATGTATTTTGATATCGGAGTACATATTCTCATGTCAAATTTTTCATATATATATATTAATTATAAAAGAGAGAGAGAGAGAGAGAGAGATAAATAGTGAAGGTTTTATTACAAAGACATGGAACTTTTTCTTATTTGCAAAGAGGCAACACAATTTCTTACAAATTGCAATCTCCACCGGCACCAAGTGCGTGAACCCAAACGCCAAAAGCGTAGCGCGTGAGACAGGTCACGGTAAATTACAGCGTATATAACCCCATTTGGCAGCTTTTAAAATACCAAATTCTTTTCACTTTTCTCCTCCTACCTTTCTACCCTTTATTTGTATGTACACTAACTCACTAACTGAAAAATACTGAACTACCCCTAACACGTGTCAACTCTCACACGTGGGTCAGAACTCCGCAAACGAAACGTTTTTCTGGCAGTCTGATGAAATCGACGGCAATCGCGAGGGTGGCGCTGACGGCGGTTGACGTAATCTCTGGAAGTACTCCCTGATATCCGGCCCACACTCTGTTACTTTCTCCGTCAACTCACCCTCTTCCCTGTTGGGGATAAACGGAGGCCGCAAAACTTCCGTTAGGAGGTCCCACTTTAGGCCTTTGAAGAACACGTGTTGCTTGATCTCGGATGCGCCACGGTTGTAGCCGAGCCTCTTTGTGGGGTCCTTTTCCAGCAACCGTCCGATTAGGTCCGTTAACGCCGTGGGCTTACCGATGAATTGAGGCTCCTTGCTCACGACGTTTCGAAACGTTTCCTTTCGGTTCTTTCCCTTAAACGGCGTCGTACCGTAAAGCATCTCGTACGTGAACACCCCGAGAGCCCACCAATCGACAGCGAACTCGTGTCCGTCCCCACGAACCACCTCGGGGGAAACGTACTCCTCCGTGCCAACGAACGAGTTGGATCGCTCCCCGTTGGAGAAACTCAGTCTGCGTCGGCTTACGGGGCTGACACGAGCCGACTTCGCTTTCCTCAACCCTTTTTTGGCGTCGGATACGGTGGGGATCCATCGGGAGAGGTTCCGGTGATGCTTCCGGCGAATCTCGATTGGGTTTTTGTTATTGTTTCGTTGTCGGGTCTGCTCTGTTTCTTGAATGCCCGGTGCGGCGGAGGCGGCGGCGGCGACGGTTCGCTTGGCCAAGCTACGTGAAAGGTCGAAGTCCGTTAGAGTCACGTGACCAGACTGCTGTACGAGGATGTTTTCCGGCTTCAAATCCCTGTAAGCGATGCCCATGTTATGGAGATGTTCGAGGGCGCAGACGATCTCCGCCAAGTAAAAACGAATGACCGTAGGGGAGAAAACACGGTCGTTTTGACGGTAGCGTAGAACGTTAAGATCACCGCCGGAACAGTAAGGAACAGCCCAGGCGAGAAAGTCGTCGGTCTCGAGAGAACCAAGGAGGTGAGGTAGAAACGGATGCGGTTCCGGGTTAGACAAACGGGTCAACACACGGATTTCCCACCGGGCACGACGGTCAGCGTCGCGCTTCGAATGTGAGACAGTCTTGTCGACGACCTTTAGAGCAAAGGGGAAGCGGGCATCGGGGTCGGACACCGTACGATGCACAAGAAACACCGTACCCATGGCGCCTTTGCCGAGAATTTTGAGAGGTCTGATGTCATCGAGCTCCATCTCCGGTAATAACCGCGGTGGTGGAGGTGGCGATGATGGTGTCTCCATTTTCAGAAAGAGAAACGAGAAAAAAGCAAAAACTTGGAAGGGAGAAAGAGAAACAGAAAGAGAGAGAGAGATGGGTTTCAGCGTTGGGTTTTGGCTTATATAGTTTTTTTTGTTTTTTTTTTTTTTTGTTGTCTTCAAATGTATGTTTTGTGAAAGTGTTTATTGTTTTTCAGTTAATTAGTTTTCAGTTTTTTACTCGGCGGTAAATAATTAAAGTCGTAAACACAAAAAAGTGAGGTTGAAAATTTAGTTTTATTGTTTTAATTTCGCGACTTTTGAGAGTAAGATAATTATAATTTTCAGAAAAATACAAAAATAATAATAATTGCTGTTATTAGCTTTACAGCTCTCTTCTACTTCTTACATGCCATCATCCATTGCACTTTTATTTTTATTTTTATTTTATTTTTATTTTGAGTTACTATTTTTATTAAAAGAAAATAAAAAGATACCACCTTCTTTTATTCTTATTCGCCTATATATATATATATGTATATATATTCTACTAGTAGTTCAATAATTAATTATCTCAATCTACATATCTATATAGATCATAGGAAATTGAAAATTGACGAACAACAAAACGGCCGCCCAATAATTATATGATTATACAAAATAAAATGTCCTTACGGTCGTACCATCATGGACAATAAATAATAATCTATAGTATGATTTATACAACATTTATTAGTGCTACCCATATGGTGAGATCTCAATTTACAAGTGTAATGAGTTGGTTTTTTTTTTTTTTTTCCTTCTAAATTAACCAATTGGGCAAACAATTAAAAAGCCATGCACACGTGTAAACACATACATATACATATACATATACATATATATATATATATATATATATATATAATTAAAGAGAAAGATGCATGGAGCCAAACAAAAGACAAAAGAAGATTAAGGTTGTGCGGGCGGGTACTCACATGGGGGGGGGGGAGGTTCCCATAATCTAAGGTCCCGAATTAATGTGGACGTGCACTCTATATACAACATTTTTTTTGTAAATAAAATTATTAAATGTTTTAATTCTTGAAAAATAAATGTTGGTTCGAATAATTATAATTACTTCTTAAATGATTAATCGGTTAATTAATTAAATTCTCTAAGAAAAAAATAATTGGGATGCACCCAAAATTAAAAAATAATGAAATAAATTTGACTTTACCTCAAGCAAAAAATTTAATGATTTTATTAGAGGACGATCACATAAATCATATAGTTTATACCTTATAATATATTTCCATTATGATTTTTGGTACAAGTGAGGACAAAAAATAAATTTAAAGGGTGATTTAATTTAAAGGGTGATTTTATTATATTTAAAACTTTTAAAATTAATAATTGAAATTCTTTATACAATGATTTATAAGCTATAAATGTATAGGGGTCATGAGCTTATTTTGGAATTTTGTCGATTATATTATATATATATATAATTTTGGACTCTATCCTCGTTGCTTACACAAGAGGCTCTGAAATAAAGGAGAACGATGCAGATAGCACATGTTGAATAGTTGATTTATTATTATTATTATTAATTAATTTCTTAAAAAAAATATTAAATATTAATAATTAATTTAAGTGATATTTTCCTCACTTATTGATAAACACATATATTTTTTATTAAAAAAATTAAAAGTTTAAAAAGTATTTAGTTATAATAAACAAATTAATAAATATTCAATTTACAAATAAATTTGGTATTTATGAAAAATATTTTCTTCTACGTATAATATCCAAAAGAATAATATTATATACACCCGTTAATATTTTACTAATTGGAGACAAACATAACCCCACGGACGAGTATGGTAGACACGATGATGATTTCTTAATCACATTAACTAAGGAATCAAAATTTTGATTTGCAAAATCCAATGTTTGAAATCATGACTATACTATTAACACTAATACGAATTTAATTAATGTAATTTAAACATATTGTTTAGTAGAATTAGTGAATTGGGTTCGTGTTAGGTGGTGCTGGTCATCAACCCTTTACACATATATGTACGTATATATGTCCTAACAATCACTAATTTAACAATTTTAATCGAAACCCTTGTATGCTCTCTCTCTCTCTCATACACATACATATACATATATATATATATATATATATATATATATGGATATATTCGAGATTGAATGCTCCTTGTAATTTATACTTTAGAGGAGGAACCCAATTGATTTTTCCAATCTTTAGAGATTCCCCACCTACAATTAAATTACTATTTACATTTAGAATATAGTTTATAAAAAGGCTACCTATAAACTATAGCTTAAAATTCCTTTTTTAAGTACCCCATATAAGTCACTAACATTTTTCAATTTGTCATTATTCACTTATTTCTTTTGTTCCTTTTTCCCAAAATTATTAATGCAATCTCCATTTCAATTATTTGTTTTTTTTTTTTCTCCAAAGTACATCAATAATTATGGGTAAAAATGAAAACAAAAGAAGAGCCTTTCTAGGCGTAAACCCTAACTAAGTTTCTTAACATTTTTTTGGCTCACACTATATGAATTTACACATTTAGATAGTTTGATTGTATCTAAAAAAAAAAATTAATTTTATATAAATTAATTTAATTTTGAATTTTAGAGATCCAAATGTTTTGATCTTATGTTGTAATGTTGATAAAGATATTAAATGTGTAATTAGTAGATAAACGTGACTCTTAATCTCACTTTAAAAATATATATAATTATTGAACTTCATAATATAACTCACTCGAAGATATTCGGAATTGGATAGGTAGCTAAAAATTTCAGCATATATATTAGCTATATATTTACCTTTATGGTGGACAAATTTTTGTTAAGGTGGGTCTACGTATATAACATATGTATATGATATTAGCTGAAAATTTTGATAAGATATACATATATACATACATATATTAATTGGAAAATTAAGGTTATTGATGAATGCACCACGGATGATGTATTTAGTGGCGATTGTTACAATTCACTAGCACCCATCAAAAACAGTGGACCTACTCCAACACACCATTTGTCGAAATGGTCTTAATTGCCAACCTCGATGATCCCATCAATTTCATGATAAGTCAAATTTCATATTTTAATTGATTAAAGTATTGAAAAAATCTTAGTTATTATACATATATATATAAATTAATTAGATACATTCACACTATACAGAGGTGTATATCTGTAGGTAAGAATTTATGTATTATTAATTACTATTTAAATAAACAGTTGATATATATGTAGATAAATGACTGATATATGTTTTCGTGTATGTTACTAGTAAACTAAATAATTGGTGTATATTTTTACGTGTGAATTTGCATGTTATTCTCAACTTTAGAAACATAGTTAATTATCATTTCAAGATCACAACTATACATTTTTTACTACACAAACCATCAATATTCAACTTATAACACATTTTTTGAGACATACATATTTATCTTACTGAGTCGATCACTCATATTAAAATAATAAAATATTAATATCTTGTAATAATATCATCTGCCCATTTTGAAACGATTTCTACATTCAACATAAGATTTTTTTAAGTCAACCTCCAAAGAAAATACTTACCCAAAAACTTGTTACCACATCTTTTTCTATTGAATCTTATATTTGTCGACACTACATTTTCTTGACAAGATAATAACAAATTTGAACAAAGAAAACATAATCCAAATTAAATTATTAAGTGGATTATAGCAACTAAGAAGAATGTTATGTTTCGAAGACAAGAAAAAATTATTTATGGGAGATGAGTTCCACATTGGTTGATTAGCTCACCGACCATGAATTGAGTATAGTGAAAATGGTCTTGGAGATCAAACACGGCTACCCATTAATTCCACATATAGTTTGAATCAACTTGAAGGCAAGGCTACATTTAAAATAAAGTTAAAATGATAATTAGCTAGATTAAAAATGTGCATATATATATGTATGTGTGTGTGTATAGAATTTGAGTTGATGGGCATATAGTATAAAGGTGTAATATAACAAGTGGGTAAAAATCAATATTTTGGAAAAAAGGATCCATCCAAACAAGGCCTAAAACCCACCCCATTCACTCCAACTTTAGGTTACACAAAATCTTACACACTGTTTTTCTTTTTGCTCATCTTTCTGGCATTCTTGAGACATCATAACCCCACAAATTAATTCTTTTTCTAAACAAACTCTAAAAAAAAATTATAACTCATCCCCCCAAAAAAGAAAGAAAGAAAGATTGTTCAAGTTTCACAAGATGTGTTCCTGTCCATCATCATTTGGTGGGAGAAAATGTAACCTTTCCCTTATACCTAATTAATCCCAAACCCATTATCTATATATATATATATATATATATGTATGTATAAAGTAATGGTCCCTAGACTAGGAATTAAATTCTCCAATTGGATTTGGTCAAATTATGATTCAAAAGAATAATTATTGGGTTGAGTTGAAATTTGAAAGACAAAATATTTAATAAGATACGGATTAATTAGGATAATCAACTTAAAAGTTAAATCACATTATGTAATTTTTCAAAAAAAAATTATAGCAATTAATTGATTAAGAACAAATTATATTCCTCTACCCATGTCAAAGTTAAGAACATATGTACTTTAAAGCAAAAAAGCTTCTCTACACTCTTTGATGATGCCCTTGTCGGCCATGATTTCACCCTTGAAAACAAACCCTTTTCTCTCATCCCATATCGAATATATTTTTGGATCTTTTAAACCCAAACACAAACACAACATACCCATTATATATACATACACATATTACTCATAACATGCTAAACAAATATATATAAGAATATACTTCGACTTAAATACACCCAAAAAAAAAAAAACCAATTATCAAACTATATAATAAATTTATTATACATATACATATATATATAATCACCCACTTACTTATTATTAATTCTCTGAAATTTTGATGATAATAATAATATATTGTCATTAATGTATAATGATAACTTGCTTAGAATTCTTTACTTGAAGGCTCCTCCAATCATGGTTAAAGTGGGCAACACACGTTTACACTTGCTTATTATTCGCCTATATGTATATATATATATA